GACCACATGACGTTTGTAGGCAAATTAGCTATAATTAGCTATAATTTCGCGCTGAAGTTGCTAGAGGGCCAGACCATTATAAATAGGGAAGCAGGTTGTTTACCATGACAGTAGAAGTGATTTTTTTCTGAAGATATGGGTAAACAACGCAATTTAACAGCCTTTGAACGTGGGATGATTGTTGGCGCTCTGAGCCTTGGAGCGAGTACCAGCAAAACAGCAGAATTCGTTAAATGTTCAAGAGCAGCTGTTGTTAAAGGGTTTAAGGACTGGACTGTCAGCCGAAAATCTGGGTCTGAACGTGCGAATTGTGGCCGTCAGCGACTAGTCAATGTTAGGGCAGAACGGAGAGTGGCAAGACTGGTACAAGACAACAGAAGGGCAACAGTGCAGCGTCAGATTCCTCACATCACCTTTCAACATCTCGTGGAGACACGAGGCGGCCCAATAAAGTCATCTCGTGGAGTCATCTTGTGGCATAACGAAGTACTGATGGGGTGGTCATAATAATATGGCCACTCAGTGTAGATGTGCAGCACTGTCTGGATGTTAATGATGGGGATATCACTGTTTGTGCTCGATTCACGGGTTGTCCTCCGGGGTATCACTTTTTTGTGGTTTAGGTAATGATGGTTATATCAGCCTTTCCTTTCTATTAGTACAGACAGAGTGTCTTGTTACTGATACTAAGAGAGAAACTTGAAAAGGCCTGCTAAATAGAGATATCTAAAAGGTAAGAAATACTTCTTTAAATATTATCTTTACATACAGTATGCTGTGTAAACAAAAAAAACATATAGTGGGGGTTTCTCAATTTTGACTGCAAAAGTGGAAATACCCTGTTAATATCAGAAATTAACTTGTACACATATCAAAAATATTTGCAACCGTATTATTTGTGACTTTTGTATGAATGCTGATACAGTCGCGGAGCAATTTTCCTTATAAATAGACCCCTTAGTGAATACTAACAGAGTCTAGAGAGGGCAGGTGAAGTGAACAATCTAGGACAACATAGCTGAACTGGAAAGTGACCTGAACTGGAGAATTATTCCAACTCCACTATGTTTTCCAGATTGTTCACTTCTCCTGCCTTCTCCAAACTCTTCACCCTTTAGTAAATAGCCCTGTTAATCATTTCTATTATGACCATTATTCCTTTTTCTCTTAAATTTTTTGCTGATTTTTTTAAATCATATGTAAATGTTTTTGTTTTTATTGCTGATGTTTTTATCACCCAAAAAAATGCTTTGTATATTTATATTCACAAAGGTAGCACATCTTAATAAAATATTCCTCCCAGAAATTCCCAGGCCACTTACTTTTGAAAGTTATTGCAGGTGCAGCCTTTGGGTTCCTCTGATTTCTGCCAATTTCTCGAATGTATGTTCTTAACACTACATTCACAATCTCCCTTCCCCGGAACTACATCTTAAATAAAATAAAAGTGCACCGAGCATGTGTGGCCCTTGCAAGCCGATCAAAGGTGTGGAAGCAAATGCGACTATTATATCAAGCTGTGTGTGCAGGCAACGTATTTACATTAGCCAGTAGTTCTTTTCCCAGGACCGCGAATGAAGGGTAGCTTTAGCAGGGCTTCATAGGAACCTGCAAGCCAAGGAGCCACCCTTACAATGAAAATAGGGGTCAGACATTGAGGGACAGGTTGAAAAGGGAGAATATAAATGAATAATTTTAAGTCTGAACATCAGCATTAACTAGTATAAAAAGAGTTTAAAATAGTATTAAACGCTCAAACTTAATAAATCCAGATCAAACAAATATACATTACTGAGCAAAGCATTGCTTTACATTATTGCCCAAACACAATCATCATGTTTCTGAACAGCTGCTTCCAAGTCTCTCAGCTCAGCTTTCCTGAACTTCCTGTCCAGTACAAGATCACAAGGGGCAGATAAGACTCCAGCAACTTTTCATCTACTAGCTTGGAGAAGGAAGGAGGGAGAAAAGGAGGCAAGTAGCTTTATCTGCTTTGTCTGTGTGTTTGTGGGGACACTAGCACACAGAAGGGTGACTGCATAGCACTCTGCTTGAGAAAGGAGTCACTCTAAAACAGGAAGTCAGGAACCAGCTGATTCTGCCGGAAACTAAAACATTTAAACATCAAGAAACAACATCCACTGCAAGTGATTTCATAAGCATTTGAAATAGCTTAAAATTCTTAAATACTTTAATATCACAATAAAGTTTTAGTTAATCATTATTATTTTTATTAACTTCTATTCGGGCACAGAAAAATATCGGCATAAGAATATCATCAGTGCTAGAGCTTGTGTAATGTTCTCTGTGGTCATTGTTAGTGATAGGAGAAAGACTGAACTAGCAGGCTAGCTTCACACTTTCCATATACATATGTATGCACTGCCAGTATTATAATTAGATCAAAATACAGACAACATACACCAACACAGATGTGAACTGGCAACTTTGAATATATGTAAATGCCCCCCC